GCTGCCTACCCTAGGCGCGCCCTCCACCCTCGTGGGCTCCCTGTTGCTCCACCGACGTACTTCTTCCTCCTATATATACCCACGTACCCCCAAACGATCAGATACGAAGCCAAAACCCTAATTCCACCGCCGTAACTTTCTGTATCAACGAGATCCCATCTTGGGGCCTGTTCCGGAGCTCCGCTGGAGGGGGCATCGATCACGGAGGGCTTCTACATCAACACCATAGCTTCTCCGATGAAGTGTGAGTAGTTTACCTCAGACCTACGAGTCCATAATTAGTAGCTAGATGGCTTCTTCTCTCTTTTTGGATCTCAATACAATGTTCTCCCCCTCTCTTGTGGAGATCTATTCGATGTAATCTTCTTTTTGCGGTGTGTTTGTTGAGACTGATGAATTATGGCTTTATGATCAAGTCTATCTATGAATAATATTTTAATCTTCTCTGAATTCTTTTATGTATGATTGGTTATCTTTGCAAGTCTCTTCGAATTATCAGTTTGGTTTGGCCTACTAGATTGATCTTTCTTGCAATGGGAGAAGTGCTTAGCTTTGGGTTCAATCTTGCGGTGTCCTTTCCCGGTGACAGTAAGGGCGGCAAGGCACGTACTGTATTGTTGCCATCGAGGATAACAAGATGGGGTTTTCTTCATATTGCATGAGTCTATCCCTCTACATCATGTCATCTTGCTTAAGGCGTTACTCTGTTTTTAACTTAATACTCTAGATGCATGTTGGATAGCGGTCGATGAGTGGAGTAATAGTAGTAGATGCAGGCAGGAGTCGGTCTACTTGTCTCGGACGTGATGCCTATATACATGATCATACCTAGATATTCTCATAACTATGCTCAATTCTGTCAATTGCTCAACAGTAATTTGTTCACCCATCGTAGAATACTTATGCTCTTGAGAGAAGCCACAAGTGAAACCTATGGCCCCGGGGTCTATCTCTATCATATTAATCTCCTACTACTTAGTTATTTCCTTTGCTATTTACTTTGCCTTTATTTTACTTTGCATCTTTATCATAAAAATACCAAAAATCTTATCTTATCATATCTATCAGATCTCACTCTCGTAAGTGGCCTTATAGGGACTGACAACCCCTATTTGCATTGGTTGCGAGGATTTATTTGTTTTGTGTAGGTGCGAGGGACTTGCGCGTAGCCTCCTACTAGATTGATACCTTGGTTCTCAAAAACTGAGGGAAATACTTATGCTACTTTGCTGCATCATCCCTTCCTCTTCGGGGAAAACCAACGCAGTGCTCAAGAGGTAGCACCCATTTAGGTAAATGGGCCACATTTGGGCCATGCCACATGTCGAAGTGTCATGGGCGCGTCTCGTCCATTGGACGAATCATCTGTTGCAATGCCGAGCTAACATGTGGATGCACCGGCGAATGAGAAATTTACACATGGAAAATCACTATTTGTCCTGGGTGTTAACGAGTTATCGAATCCAAAATTGGACCCGATAGCTTAACGGTGATCCGTTATGATGGAAGCCTCGTGTCAGTTACCCTTGATTAAAACACTTTCATGACGCGGCATTTATTGTCATGGAAGTGGACACTTCCATGAAGATAATTTTAGTATTGTCATGGAACACTTCTATGACAGCACATGTATGACTTTCTTATTTCTTTCATAAAATTGTCACGGATGTACATGCATGATAGAAAATGTGAACTACTATGACAAACGTGTATCACCACAGAAGTGTTTTTTGTAGTGTGCCTTGGATAAACCTGATGTATCTAACATGGTGTTAACCAAATCTGTTAGGGTATGATTTTTCTGTCCAGCAACCCCGTTTGACTTTGACTGGGGTGAATAGGGAGGCGTCCTCTCATGAATAATACCATGTTCCGCATAACGTAAATCGAACTCATTAGAAAAGTACTCTCCACCACGATTAGACCGAACTCGTTTTATTTTATTTTCAAGTTGGTTCTCAACTTTTGCCTTATAAATTTTAATGTAGTGTAGAGCCTCATCCTTGGCTTTTAGCAAATACACATAGAGGAATCTAATGAAATTATCAATCAACATCATAAAATATTTCTTTCCACCTTTAGTCGACACACCATTCATCTCGCACAGATCTAAATGTATGAGCTCTAGTGGTGCCAAGTGTCTCTCCTCCCCGGCCTTGTGAGGCTTGCGAGGTTGCTTTGCTTGCACATACCAATGGCACTTAGAGCCTTTGGCTAAAGTGAAACTCGAGATGAGATCCATCTTAGCTAGACATGTCAAACAGCCGAAATTAATGTGACAAAGACTTGAATGACAAACCTCAGATTCGTTCACATTAGCATATATTTGGTTCACGACTTTATGATAGAAACCCTCAAGGGAAAGACGGAACAAACCACTTCAATCATATCCTTTTTCAATAAATAGTCCATGTCAAGATACAACTACTTTATTGGACTCAAATACTAACTTAAACCCTTTGTTACATAGAAGGGGCCACTAATGAGATTCGTCTTGATGGCGGGGACATGCTGCATGTTCTTCAGTTGCACAATCTTTCCCGAAGTAAACTTCAGATCTACCATGCCAACACCATGAACAGAAGCATGCGAGCCATTCCCCATTAGGACGGAGCAGTCTCGTGTGACCTGGTAAGAGAACATAGACATATCAGCACACACAGGAATATATGCACCTATGTTAACCCACGAATCAGTGGATTAACAAACTGAAAGAACGGTAAACAGATTACCATACCCGGATGCCCCATCATTGTTGCTCATAGTCACATTGACAGACTTGGAGTCCTATGCTAGCTTCTTTTACTTGTTTGGGCACTTGTTTCCCAATGTTCCTCTTAACCACAAGTAAAACAACCATCTCTCTTTTTGTCTTTCTTCATACCCTTCTTCTTGAAGGTGGTATTCTAATGGATAGTGTTCTTTCCCTTGAACTTGTGGAAATTCTTCTGCACTACATTGGCACTAGAAGACCCCTCTACCCCTTTCATGTCTGAGTCATTTGCTCTCAAGTTCTGCTCACCACTTAGATGACCGATGACATCCTCAACAGAGAATCCAGGTCTCAAGTGCTTGAGGGAAGTAGAAAAGTTCCTTTATCTAGGAGAGAGTTTTGCAATAATGTAAACCGTGACAAACTTGTCCAGCAACTCACACTTCAGGAGCTCCAGCTCCTTAGCGATGCACTTTAGCTCATGAGCCAAGTCCAATACAGAAGGGTTATCAACCATCCTGCATCCCACAAGTATTTGGCAACACACATATGAATATATACGTCAACCAACTTATCTCCAATCAAACTTAGAACTGCTCCTACAAAGATGGTGGTTGCCTCCCTAAACGCCTTCTCCTGACCAGGGGCAATCATTGCAGTGGGAAGCACACCGCCAATCCAGAACATGTTCATCACTGTCAGCCACAAGGTGGTCCTTGTCTGCCAACGCTTAAAATGCGTTCCAGTAAAATTTTCTGGTTTCAGAATAGCGGCAAAGCCTTGAATCAAAAAGTGGCTAAAATAAGGTTTTTGGACTGTTGATAATATCAGCACATTTTTATTAGACTAGTCCACGAGTTAACAGTAAGAATGGAAAATTCGGTACGCAACTCATACTGATACGTAAGCATGTGAGCACATATAGTACATAGAACCAAAACATCTATGTACAACATATATACGAGTAGCACATGAACGAGCAAATATGGGATGAACGAATCATACCCCTCGGTTGGCCAGGCCAACACGGCGGCGGCAGTAGCAGCCTCAGCATTGTCAGTGGCCTTCTTCTTCGCGGCGGCGTCATCAACTAGGGTGTCAATGCAGGGGAAGTAGTGGAATTAGAGGAGGACAAAGACATGGCCAGATTGGGAGCAAACGCGTCGAGACGCTCCCCAAAAACCTGGCTTCGCCCCTGTCATTTTTTAGGGGATACCAACGATGTTTTATCCTGTCTTCGCCCCTGTCAAGAAAGCTTCAACGAGACAGATGATACCCTCATTATAAGGGAGACATAGTGTTTGAACTCGTCTCGGGCTGCCCTGGCCCACCCGGGTCACCCTACAGTAGACCAGACACTGGGCCATGCCCGATGCCCGCTGTGCTCGGTCAGGGGAGGTGATGGTGGCCGATGGGCAGCGTCGAGGCCTGCTGTCCAGCGGCGAGTATATCGCCGTCGATGAACGAGAGGAATCCACCACGTGCTACCGTG